TACTCAATCAATCAATAAGCTCTTATTAAAGACCTATTAAGTTCTAGGCACTGGAATCACATCTATAAAATCACAGATCCATCTGACCTTTGGCTCAGGAATACTCAAAGGACTCTAGCCTCATATGATACAGGTCTAATACAAGGGACTTGATCCCAAATGATCAATCAGTTTCTCTCTTTGGCTCTTTGCCCTGCACTAAATATAATCCAGGAATTTTTTTCAAAATAAAAGTTTAGATACAGATCGTAAATGTTTAGGCTTCCTCAAATGTGAATAACAGGGACCCCAACTCCCACACATATTTTCAGTGTGCATGAATAATGGGTAGGGGACAGCCCATAGAAAATGTGTAAGATACTGCATAAGCACTTACAAGAACCAGTTAACAAGTATGGGAATATAAAGCACTCAAATGACCTATAAACTCTCTCAGAACTGGAAAACGTCATTGGGCAACATTTCATTATTTTGATGAATCCCTCTTTCCCAGAGTCCTACAGAGTCTCCCCAAGCCCTCCTTCTAGTCAGACCTATGCATACACATCAGGATTCTTTGGAAGTTTGAACTCAAGAACTCTTGAACTTGGAGTTCCAACTGAAACAACTACCAAAACTGGTGCTGCCTGGGAAATCTCCTTTCTGTGATAAAAATGTTAGATCAGGTGCCCAGTGAATTCAAAATCTCCTTTCCTCGAGATAGTAATTTGGGGCTCAGGAACAGCTTCAGCTCTCCTCTCGGTACTTATGCAAACAAATATCCATCTCTGCTATGAGCTTCTGAAAGTCACCAATACTGCTCTTTGAGGGGGGAGGGAAGAGGGAGACATTCAGAATACATCAGTCATTAGACTTCTTGGTCTCAAAACCTTTTTACGCTCTCAAAAATTGAGACCTCTCCAAAAACTTTTGTTAACGTGGGTTGAGAGCCATTTCTATCTAATATATTAGAAATTAAAACAATATCATTATTCAAACAGTTGTGATCTCTTGACCTGAAAGGCTCTCAGGGACACCCAGGGGTTCCTGGACCATCCTTTAAGAACTACTGCTCTAACACATGGCCTTATAGATCACAAAATAAATGTGCCATTTATCGTGTACTATAATAAAATGTAATATCAAAGACATTTCTTATTGAGTACTCCTATGTGTTGCACCCTAGGGAACCATCCTTCTTATAGGAGCCTACTCCCAGCTCTCATTTGTATTTAAACATCATTTTGTCCAAGGAAGTTCCACCAAAGATTTGGCAAAAGCCTATTAGCAAGTAAAGCTAATTAACATATCAAATTGCCAACTTCAAAGGTTTGTAATTAGTTACAATATTTAAGATGGGATCACTTCAGTTAGAAAATTCTGAGATTTCTCATCTTAATATTTATTTCCCAACATACCCATATTATAAAGTTGTAAGAAAAATATTCTGGAAAAATAGATCTGAAATGAATATAATTTGAGTTATATAGTATGTTTCTCCTTTTTAAACCTTGAGTCACAAAGCACAGAGGTTGATTTCAGTCCTTTTATAACTGCAAAATAAGGGTTTATTACAGAATTCTTTAAAGAGGCTGCACCATACACTCACCATTTTATCACAGATAAATGCATCTTGTTCCTCCCCTTGTCCTCTTCCTCTTCTCCCTCAAGTATACACCAAATTAAGAATCTAATTTGTACCTGGTTATTTGTTAGCCTTGATAGCATATTACATGCATCCAGGACACAGAGGTTTCACTTGGTAACTATACATACAAAACATTAAGAAGTTAGGTGACTTAGCACTTTCAGGTATAAATATGCTTGATATAATTTCATCTGAACCTCACAATCACCCTGTTAAGTTGATCTAAGTTACTATTCTCATTTTACAGATGGGCCACGTGAACGTTTTCCTAGTTCTAAGGGATTCTAAATCAGTCACTGGCTGAATAGGATGGTGAGAATGGGGGGTGTGGGGGGGTGTTACCTTTCTTTTGGATTAGGATGCCAAAGCTGATTATCTGTAAGAATAAGGTTGCCACAAACTTTACACTTGAACAGAGGTGCACACTATCATAATTCTGCAAACAGAGATCTTCCCAGTAGCTTACATGAGGCAAAACTGTGAAACTGCGTAAGTTAAATGGAAAATAATCAAAATCTACTTCTACTTTCAAGTATCAACTCAAGTCCCCCCTTTAATGGAAAGCCTTTCCTGACTCCTCTTAATTCTAGTGCCTTCCCTCTTTTATTTCCTATTTATACACTATATAGCATGTTTGCATATATTTGCTGTCTCCCCCATTGGACAGGCACTTTCTTTTATGTTATTTTGTATCCCAGCTCTTAGCACAAGGCCTGGCACCTAATGGATACTTAATAAATGATGACTGATAATAAAGTGGTTATTTTACTTTCCCTTTCTCTATCTAACTTGACTAATGCCAAAGTTAAAAAAAAGACCTGAAGGTTTTTTCTCAAGGGAGAACAACAGAAACTTTGACTTGGGGAATTAGAACTTTCCCTTAGAACAGTGCTGAGTACATACGAATGCTGACTTCCACAGGGGTTGAGGGTGGAGGAACAGAAACTTTTCAAAGCTTTTAATTTTTGAGAAAATTGCCTCAACTTACCAACATAACTATTTTTATATGTATACACTTTCTAACAAGCAATATTAATACACAACCTACTTCACAGATCAAGGCTGGTATTTGTAAATAAAACATTCTAACTAGTAACCTTAAAACCATTAATAGACATGTAGAACTACAGAGAAGGCATCTAGGTGGTGCGGTGGGTAGAGTGTTAGGCCTGGAGTCAGGAAGACTCATTTTCCGAAGTTTATATCTGGCCTCAAACACTTACTAGCAGTGTGACCCTGGGCAAGTCACTTAACCCAGTTCACTTTAGTTCTTCATCTGTAAAATGAGCTGGAGAAGGAAACGGTAAACCATTCCAGTATCTATGCCAAGAAAACCCCAAATGGGGTCATGCAGTCGGACACAACTGAACAACAACAACAGAATTACAGAGACCAGACATTCCAGAAGGAATTACAGCAATTAAAATGTCCACAGGCTTCACTCTCTTCTTACCCTGAGCAGCTTCCCTGCTCCTAAGAATGAGAGGTAAATTTACAAGTTGCTTTAGTCATAGAGTTAGCTGCTATCAACTCTGAATATTTACATTTTTGTAATTCTTTAATAACTTCACACACACACACACACACACACACACACACACAACACATCCCCACCTAATTAACATGCAACATTCGGCCAGCATCATGCAATTTAGTAAAGCCAAAATTCCCTTTAGCTGTTTATTGCTTGGCCCCATCTTAGTTTGCAATTACCTGGAGGACAGTTCCCAAGATACAAAGCACATAGCTTGCACTACAAGGCCTTGCCTTGGCCTCAGCCATGAGCACCAAGCCCTAACACATGACTCACATCATGATCACTATAGTTGCTCCACAGTGACCAACGTATCCTGATTGGACAGGTCCTCACATCAATCACTGACCTTACCTAAGTTTGAGAACTCCCAACCTCCCCCATCTCCTTTCTTTTTTAAGGGGAATAAAGCATGTTCTCTACTATCCTCTTTTAGTGCTCACAGCTCAGTTCATGACATTGAAACTTGTCTTCTGTAAATATACATCCTCTTTAACACTCTCTTCTAGTTTCCTGCTTACATCAGCAAAAAACCCTCTCCTCTTTGTTCCATCTGTAATCCAAAAAGTTATTGCTTAGTGTCAAGCGTATTCCAATCCCTGTTCCAAAGCTTTATTGTGTGTGGAGGTTGGCCTAGTTCCTCAGACCCTCTGGTAGCAAGGTACAAGCCTCAGCAGTTCTTAACCAAGTTGGAGAGGAACCTAATATGGGCTCAGTGGAACCAAATTGGCTGTGATGCATCTAGGTTAAGCACTAGTCCCAATTGCTGGATGTTATTCGGTATGCTGATACAATAATTACAGGTCCTTGAAGAAGGAATGAATATAAACCTACCTGTACCAAAGGTTTTTAGGAAAAGCAAAATTACACAGTTACTGGTACCATGCTCCTCTAAAGCTCTTGAAAATGTCCAAGTCATTTATACTTACCCTCCAAGACTTTTCTTCAAGGCACAGTGTAATATTGTTTTCTATTTTCCTACTGAAATATTTTAACTCTTTATGGGCATTTGTAGGCTAACCTAGGAACATAACCCACACTTCTTGTATCACCCATAATTTCTAGGAGAACAGCTATCTAAAGCTTCACATCACTAAAAGAAATTTGTATCACAACCCATTCATAAATTGGGGATTTTCTATACTTCAAATGATTAATTCACACATAAATTACTGATGTGCTTACAAAGGAAATTAACTATTTTTTGAAAAATCTGTTGACACTCAATGTGTTGGGGAAAATTGTTTAAAAGTTACTCAATGACCGCAAGCTCTGACCGGATATAAACAAATTTTCATTTACTGACATTTATAAAATGATAATTGCTAAGCTGGATCGATTTTATCAACATCAAGGTATTTTGAACACAATAAGGCCATATTTAAAATATACTTCAGGCAAATTATTCATATCAAACTTCCCAATTCTTGTATCTTGTCTCTCTTACTCATTCATACCTTTCAACTCCCTCTATTTGTTCTAAATGAGACTCTTTTCTCTCTCATCATCATTTTCCCTTTCAATTAAACCCTGATTCATTCATCATTATGACAGGAAGCTATAAGAACTATCAGAAAATAGCAACTGCAGAAATAAAGCAATGCCAATAGTAGCAAGAACTTTAATTTGAGGAACTCCAGATAGACGTTTCCTCAATTAGGGACAATTTTTCACTACTAACATTAATATGTACCCCTGATGTAAGTGGCACATAAATTTCTGCTTACAAATTTCTCTGTTATAAAACGTCAAAATTACCATTTGTTCATCAAATTCCCCAAATTATGAATATTAATCCCTACTAAATGCTTATACAATATCAAAAAAATTACAATAAAATGCAAAATGTAGAAATATTTTAATTTACATATCAAACTGTAACACTCACAAAATGAGTAAAAATGTAGATAGTTATCACAATTGGTAAAAATTCTGCTCATTTTCCTCAGAATAAGTAGATCTGTACAGATGAAAGCTTTACAAAGTCCAAAGTACATAGTTTATCAGTGTGCTACCGAGTTTAGAGGTTCTGCTCGAATATTTCCCAAATCAAGCGCAGAGTCTGTCTCTTCATCAATTTCTCCAATGACTGCACTGTAATGAAATGTAAAGAAAAAAGAGAATACATAAAACTATAGATTTTTTACAATTGAATTTGGGAATAATTTCTAAAAATACTAAAGTCTTTCAAAACAGAAACAGGCGATGTGGGGAAAAGGAAATGTGGTTTAGAACAATCTTAGTATTTCCAAAAAATAATTTTTTTTTACCTAAGTCAAGGAAATGGGAGTCATGCTGATCTAAAATCTGAACTAAAAATAAGGATCTTACCTAAAATTTAAAATCAAGTTCTTTCCCAAACAGAACGGATTTTTAAAATACTATAATTATTAGAGAAAATCAGCCAGATCATGACGGTAGATGATTACATATCAAATCCTATATAGTTATCATAATATATTGGAGAATGTGATATAACAAAAAAAATTAGCCTACCACTTCAGGTTCAGAGATTACATAAAAATTATAAAACACACTGCTGTTTTTATAACAATCAGTAGGTAACTAAACTAAAATGACTTTTAGAGTAATTTCAATAACGGTATTTTGATGACAAAATATTAAAAAAATAATACTTTAATAAAACTCATTTATATTATTTATGTAGCAGTTCATTTTTTCCCATTTTATTGACTGATATAATTCCTACATGGAATGTATGTGAAGCTCAAGGGACGGCGAGGGCCAGTAGCCTAATGTACTGTAGGTACATTACATATGCCTAAGATACTCTCAATAATCCAGTTTTGAAAATGAAAACAGAATGGATCCCTTCTACCTCTAAATTCTATGACCTATCACAGCAGTTTGCTTACATCTGCCTTATGAATTTATCAGAAAGAATTAGTCCATTAAGGATAAAGGGAGTTGTCTAAAGAATAAAAGCAAATCACCAACCAAATTAGATTTTTAAAAGACTCGTAAAGAAAATGAAAGCAAAGGAAGGTAACTGAAGATGAACAAAATTGGTATAGTTGTATAAGAACAGAATATAAGAATAGTCAGCAATGCTAAAGGCCTGAAAGAAGTAAGGCTAGTCATTAAAGCTAAGAATGCCTAAATGAATTTGAATGTTGTTTGTTTGTTTTTTGGGGGAAAGTATTATAGAAGGCATAGGGCACTGCTTGGCATGGAAGGCATGCTGGCAGACAATAGTAAGAGTGCTAAACTACTCAATTTATTTTGCTTCCCTTTTTCTTACCCAAGAAATAATGGGAAGAATAAAACAAAATGGTTAAAACAGAATTTAAAATTAGGGCAAGCAAGGAGATATTAAAAATACACAAATGGTCAACCCAAAGAATAGCAAATGGCAAGAGTGCTAGCAGAACTGATTTCTGAGTCACTTAGAACTAATCTTTGAAAGATCATGGAAAATGGGAAAAGTGCTACAAAAATGAGAAAAGGAATAATGTGTTTTATCCCTCAAAAAATGGCAGCTGGATGGCTTGGTGCACAGTGATGCCTTTAGATTCAGGAAGAAGTTTGAAACCTGCATCAGTTATTTACTGGCTATGTGACACCAAGGCTGGATCTGAAGTCAAGTCTTCATGACTCTAGGACCAGCACTCTCTCTCCATTGTGTGACTTAGCTGCCAGAAGCAACCTGATGGCACCCACTCTCAGGTGCTTAGCCCAAGTTAGTGTTTTACTTAATGCAGATACCCTACTGCAGCTCAGGTGCCTCTCTAGTAGCAGGATTACAGGACTGCCCCACTATGCCTTGCTCTAATTCATCTTGAACAAGAAAATATATGAAAACCCACAGTTATAAAATGAATGGGAGATAATTATTCACTTTACAAATGGCTTACTATGGGATTCCTTTTAATAGAAACCTATCCTTTTGGGGGGGGAACAAAACAAAACATCTCCATTAATATATATTATTAAATTATCTATTATATGTACTTATAGCTTGAATTTGCCCAGATTAAAAAAAATAACATACTTACACATTATCACCTCTTACAATGTATAATCCTAATACCACCTGCTCTACTCCCTGAGAAGAGCTGAACACTCGTTCATGGCTTTCATCCAAAATCAAATTGATGGTCTGATCAAAACCTTTTAGTGTTCCCTGTAAAAACAATCATGAAATCCTTTTAGGTTACCTCAGTTTATAAGTACAAAATAATTCTAGAACACTAGTCCCTCAAATGCAAAGTGGACACATTAAAAAGTCTACTTTCTAACTCTAAAATTAAAAAACAAAAGCAAAATAACCCCTCTATAACTGCCATTATTTCAGGTTATAAAACCTTTCATTTATTAATGAAAAAAATCCTTGGGTGCCAACTGTCCGCAGAAAGTCATGATTTGTTGTAAGGTACTATATAAAATATTTTTTGTGCCAGTTATTGTGAATTTACAAAAGCACGGTATGCAGTCACTGTCTTCAAAAGATAATATCCTATTAAGTTCAATAAACATTTACTCTGTGCAAGATGATATGGAGTAGCTAGAATATAAAGATAAAATAAAAGTCCCTGAATTTGAGGAATTTATATTCTAAAAGTAACCTAATGAACCCAAATAAAAATATGAAATAGCAAGCTTAAAAAAAAGGACTACATTAATTATAATTTTTCAAAGGAAAAAAATAGTGTTTTATAAAATAGGTGGAGACTGATGGAATTATTTAGAGAAGGTTTCATGGAATAAACTTAATTTTAAATGAGAACAGAAAAGAGTTGGCAGAATTTCTAAGGAAATTTAAATTTATGTGGCTTTTGTTAAATGTTTCAATTTTTTATTAATTTTCTGTATATTCAATTTTCCTCATCTGAATAGCACAACCCAGAAAGCAACGCCAAAAGAAGGAAACTAAATCTAGGGCTTGGAGAAATCATGCTTTTAAAAAAACAAACAAACTAACAAGCAACCAATTCTCAAATTGACTGGCTTATCACAAACAAAAAAAGAGCCTATTGGACATGCATAACTTTTTAAAGATAGCATTGAGGCATGTTTTGGATGTATCAAGTAACATGAACTAAATTTCCAAAGACAGGCTTAAGCTGTTTTATTTGTTGTGTGTAAATCTTTCCAGAAAAAAATACTTTCCCTTTAATTTTGCTAGTATTAAGAAAGAAATAATTTTATCTTGGGGTTTCACAAAATAAAAAAAAAAATTCACATTACTTCATCTACATAGTACTATAGGAAAAATTTAATAAACAAAGCCAGCAAGCAAAATAAAAAAAAAAATAATTTCATAACAGAAGCCTGCCATTTAAGTTTATTGGTCAAGACTAAAATTCTTAAACTTTCAGCTCCTCTGAACAATTTCCATGAAGCCTAAATTAACTAATTACTTTACTTAACAAAATGTTTCACATTCTAATGCACACTGGGAGCCAATTTTGAAATATTTAGGGAAATGATCTGTCCCTCCTACTGATAAGATCACTAATGCAGAAAGAAAATCTACAGATATATCACATACTTGAATTATAGTTCTACATAGCCGCTTTATTTTTCACAAAGCACTTTCATATTTGTAATTTTTGGAACAATCCCATAATATAGACAGGGCATATATTATTATTATCTGTTTTACAGATCAGAAAACTGAGGCTTAAAGATATTAATAAACTTGCCTACGGTCACATATCTTTCTTAAGTGGGAGAGCTGGAACTATAACCCAGGCCTGATTCCCAATATGCTTTCTGCACACATTTTCAAAACAAAGCAAAGTCATCTACTCCATAGCAGCACATGTCCTGTTTTACTGAGAAAAGACACTGCTTTTCATGATCCCCCTAGCATCTTCCCTTCTACTACCTGAGTTGTTGTTTAGTCATTTCAGTTGTGTCCCACTCTTTGTGACCCCATTTGGGGTTTTCTTAGCAAAGATACTGAAGGAGTTTGGATTTCCTTTTATAGTTCATGACTTGCCCAGGGTCACATACAAAGCTAGTGTCTGGAGGTCAAATTTGAACTCAGGTCTTCCTTACTCCAGGTCCCCTCTATCCATTGCACCACCTAGCAGCCCCTCCACTGTATGTCTGTTTCTCCAAATTGAATGTAGGCTGGACACAGGAACTGTTTCACTTTTGTCCTTTTATCTCCAGTGCCCAAGAGTCTGTGACTGGAAATTAATAAATCCTTGTTGATTAACTGATTATTCAAGAATCAATGTTTTGGTTGTTATTCAGTCTGGTGATTTCACTGGGGTAGGAAATTGTAGGAGAGAAAACTAGCTCAAGAAATGCAAAAGGCATATGTATTTGACAATGTATACCGTATTAGAAAACCGCCTGAGACACCAAGAGATTCAGTGACTAGCCAGGAATCACAGGCTAGTTAATGAGTCACAAGCAAGACCTGAACTCAAGTCTTCTTAACTCTATGTTTTCCTGACTCTATTCACTCTGCCAATGTTGCTTTATAAAGCAACATTGTCACCCTTAATTAAATTACTAAAAATATTTGCAACAGAACCAAAAGACACCAACATTTTCTGGAATTCAAAAAGAGATTATTAAGTATGACCACCAAGTTTATGTCAAGAGAAAAACATTGTAGAGATCCATAACTGTTGTCTACAGGAAATTAAAATACAGGTATAAAAGAAATAAGACAGGATTAGAAAACAGAAGACCTGGGTTCTAGTTCTAGCTCTACTTCTAACTATTTGTGTATTCTCTAGTGAGTGACTTTTTTAAAGAATCTTTTCTTTGAGTGACTTTTTTAAAGAATCTTTTCTTTGCTTCATTTCTTCATCTGTAAAAACAAAAGGCACCTAGATAGTTAGGTATCACAGTGGACAGAGAGGACAGAAGAGTGAATATGTACCTAGTCAAGAACACCTGAGTTCAAATCTTGCCTCAGATAATAGCTGTTTGACCTTGAACAAATCACTTAATCTCCTTCACCCACAATTTCCTCATCTGTAAAATGGGGATAAGAGCACCTACCTCATAATGTTGTACGGACCAAAGAAGACAATACATAAAAACACTTTGCCAACCTTAAAACACTATATAAATATTAGCTTTTATTATTATTATTTCTATAATTAGGGGGTTAGACTAGATTATCTTTAAGGTCCTTTTCAACTCTGACAATCTATGAAAACATATATTCACTTCCCATTTACTTAAACCATAGGTCATGTAAGTTCACCTATGTTCCTATATAGTATCTTTATGATGCTTCTGCACAATTCTCAATATATTAAAGCCTTTTCATGCCTACTATGGCTCCTTCCAATTGCCCTTTAAGAAATCTACAAGTCGGACAACTCAGAGACGTATGACCAGAGAAAGAGGTAGGCTATTCATAGTGAAAGTGATGGACAGTCTAGCCAGGCTCTCCTAGCACGATGAAATGTCAAAAGATCTAGGGCCCCCAGCATGTTGGAGTCCCTGTGAGGGGGCTGAAGGGAGGACAAACACAAGAGTTACACAGAATGAAAAAATGTGAATTGGTTGTGATCTGTATGTAGTATGTAATTACAGGTCTGAAGGAGCCATTGGAGTTTACTGACATGGTAAAACCTATGCTTTAGGGGGCTGCTAGGTGGCAGAGTGAATAGAGCACCGGCCCCGGAGAGTACCCGAGTTCAAATCCAGCCTCAGACAAATAATATTTCCTAGCTGTGTGACTCTGGGCAAATCACTTAACTCTAATCATCTCACACACACACACACAAAAAAAACCTATGCTTTGGGAAAATCACTTTGGCAGTTGGAGGAAAGTTTAAGCCGGGGAGCACAAAAGACTACATTACAAGAGAGTTAAGTTCCTGAACTAGGGTAGTAGCTGTGTGTCTGGAAAAAAATGAAATGTCATAAAGGAAAAAACGAGAAGATTTGGCAATGGATTGACTATGTGGAGGGACAGGAATCAAGGATGGCACTAGAGTTGCAAGTCTGGATAATGGTGCAGCGATGAAGGGAGAGGTTGGGAGAAAACGTGTGAGTTGTGTTTTGGACATGAGATTCAGATGCTTAGAGAACATAATTTAACATGTCCAAAAGGCAGCTGGAGATGTGTGACTAGAGCTCAAAAGAGAAACTATGGCAAGATACAGAGATCTGGGAATCATTTGCATCTAGATGATATCATGAAGTGAGATGAGGAAGGGGGAACAGAAAAAAAAAATGATGACAGAGGGAAAACAGAAGCGAACCCAGGACAAAACCAGAGGGAATACCCAGTTAAGGAACATAACACAGATGAAGATAACAGTAAAGGACCTGTAGGTAGGAGGAAAACCAGAAGAACAATGTCACAAATCCCAGAAAGGACATATCTAGGGGAAGAAAGTGATAGATGAATGTGGTAGAAGTAAAGAAGGATAAGGATTGAACAAAGATTGACAATTAAAAGATAACTGTCAACTTTGGAGAGGGCAATTTCACTTGGATGACTTTAGAAGTCAGATTGCAGAAGGTTAAGAACAGAGTGAGAGGAATGCAGAAGGCAAGTGTTCTATAATTTGTATAGTCTATGAGAAAAGTGTAATAGCTGACACTAATTGAAGACTTGAATGTTTGGAAAGCCTTTTATATACATTATCTCCTTTTACACATGTGAGAACTCAGGTTTGGAGAACAACTTGTCTATGGTCCAAAAGATAATAGGAGTCAGAGGGAAGGGTTTGAATCTGGGTCTTTCTGATACCAAGACCAACACTCTATCCATAATGCTAAGCTGATGATGCAGTAAATGTAAAAATATCATGCCATCTCATGGTGATACAGGTATTCTACAAATAAAACTTTCTGAGATGCTACAATAGCGTAGAACCGAATACTTACCACAATCATTCTGCCATCAGATGTAATTACAGCAACTGTACCTAATAAAACAGGATTAAGGAAGTATTTCTTTAGCAAGTTGTAATCTTAAGCCCTGATAAAGAATCCTAAATTTGTTAAAAATATGAAATATTATCGTCACAGTTGGTGAACACCGACATTCCAAATTTCTAATATAAAAAGTCGATATGAAGGTCTGAAAATTCTGTAAAAGATATCCTGTAACCAACCAAAAAAAAAAAAAAAACCTCAACAAAACAGAACTATGCTTACAACAATTCCAATCTTATCTTTGAAAAAAAAAATTCACTATTTCAGCTATATGATTAGAGTATTCTGCCCTAAAACAGCTATAAAGTTTAACTACTCTTACAGAGTATTTTTTTTTTCAGCTTTTGGCACTGTGCAACCTTAAAACAACTAACTTCCTCTAAGCGGTCCAATTAAAGTCCACATTAATTCCAGTAAATGGGGACCCCCCCCCAAATATAATAGTAATTTGCTTTCTCTATCTCCGCACGCCCCAGTCAACAAGAATGAATGACTGAAACCGTGAATGGTTTCTTTTCTGGGCCCTCAAATTAAGGGTATTTTAGAAGCCTTTTCTTGTTTTTAGTTTAGACACGATCCTTCCCGTTTCTGCAAGAGGCACCCACGCATCCAAACCCTCAGGTCTAGCTCTCCAGGGGTAGGACTAGACAGCTGCTGCAGATGCCACGGGGAGAGGCTGGCGTGAGGAGGGGGAAATGGCCGCTGCACCGCGGGGGGTGGGGAGGGTGGTAGTGCTGCTAAGAAGTAAAGAACCACAATTATGATCTGACAGGAGGCGGACCGGGACGCCCGGGCCCCGAATGCGGGTGCGGGGACGACGGCACCCGCCCAGGGTCCCCGAGTCCCGGCAGGTGGGCCTGAATCCCGTCGCTCCTCCCCTTCCCCGGCCGGCCGCGTCAGGGGCCGCTCAGCTCCCTAGGCCAGAGGACCCTGCGCCGTTCAAGATCCCCGGCGCAACCACGGAGGGAGAGGGGTGCGGTTTCGGGGGAACGGGAGGGGGGGCGCGCGAGGCCGCCGCCCAAGCGGCAGCTCAAGGATACGGTTGATGTAGTTCTCCAAGGCCGACGTCATGATGCTCGGGCCGCGCGCTCCGGAGTCTGCGCCAAGCGCCGAGAAGGGAGAAGGGAAAAGAAAGACAACTCTTTGCCTGAAGGAAGCAAGTATCGCGAGATTGGAAGCTACCGCGGCAGCCCGCCTCCCCTTCCCCCCATCCTCTCGCAGGAGCAGGACAGAGAGCAAGGATGGGCGCGCATGCGTCCTTTACTTGGCCCGCCCAGGATGCCTTGGTTCCCTAGGGATCACGTGGCCTTGGAGAGGGCGGAATAGAGAGAAGAGAACAGAAATAAATAGAGAAGGGCAGAGCGTTCAGGAAAAGTTGGAAGGAAAGAAAGTAGAGCCATGAGATTTTCATCGCATGAAAAGTATAAAAGGTATAGAAGTTTGTGCATTGAAAGTATAAAGGGCATAGGAGTTTAATAAGCCAACACTTTAAAGTTTGCAAAGCACTTTACAAATGTTACCTCATTTCGCACAGCAACCAGGGGAGATAGGTGCTCTTATACCCATTTTATCAATGAGAAAACGAAGACGAGAGAGGTTAAGTGATTTTCCTGGGATCACACAGTAGTAAGTGTCTGAGGTTGGATTTGAACTCAGATTTTCCTCACTCCTAGTGTTCTATTTACACCACCACGCAGATGTGAAGCTTAAGATACAGGGACTGTGGTTCCCCCCACTCCAACCCCTCCCACTCTGCTCAGCAGGAATGCAAAATGGCAGGAGGACACAAAAATTGTATACTGCTTTGGTATCCTTCTCAGGTCCTAGTGCACTTCAGGTGTTTGCTACACACCCGGTTCAGGTAGTATCCTGTCTTAATGCAGGGGGAAAGTCATTGTCGTAAGCCCACATAGGGTCGACTCTTCATGACCCCTGCTGGAGTTTCCTTGGCGCAGGTACTGAAGTGATTTGCCATTTCCTTCTCCAGCTCATTTTACTGATGAGGAACTAAGGTAAACAGCGTTATGTGACTTGCCCAGAGTCACGCAGCTGGGAAGTGTCAGAGGCTGGATTTGAATGCGGAAAGATGAGTCTTCCTGACTCCAGACCTGACACTCTATCCACTTCACCACCTAGCTGCCCCCTACATAGGGTAATAAGTTATAATTGATACTTGCAACTTAAGTTCAAAGACAAAATGATTAATAGATTTAGAACTGGGATATTAGAAAAATCTGGGTCCAGCCCTTCAGTTTTATAGATGATGTGAAATCGAGGTCAAGTGACTTGCCCAGGGTTACAGATAGTAAATGGCAAAAACAGTTCAACTAGGTTCCACTGACTTTGAATCCAGCACTCTCCTCCTAATTCTCTTCATTTCTTCGATGCAATCCGCTCATTTTACAGTTGAAAGAATAGACAGAGTAGAATAAACTTGGCCAAAACTACAAAGCAAGTTACTCAAGATACAGAACTAGAGTCTGGTTGAATTATGTGCCCTCTAGCTGCTTTTACTAAATTCCACATAACACAACTATGAGAGCTGGCTTCCCAGAGGCAGTGTATTTTTATTCAGCATTTTTTCTTCTTGTATTTTTTGAGACTTAACTTTGTGTAAGGCACAGTCATAGGAACTGAAGGGGATAAAGAAAAATAAGGGCTCTGCATCAATAGAGGTTACAAGTTCACAAGTACAAGGTAGGCAAAGTATGGTTAGATAGCGGGTTGTGTGAAAAAGATCTGGAGATTTGAGTCAATGCTATTATAGTGTTGTTGGAGCCAGAAAAATGAGCGTGCTTCTGGCTGCATCAAAATGATAGCTTCCAAGAATAAGGAGATGGTAGTCCTTTACTCTGCCCTGGTCAGACTGGCATACTGTACCCAGTTCTGGGTAACACAGTTTAAAAAGTTGCAGTCAGACTTAATATAATGAAAGATTGTCTCCTCTTAGAGGCCTTCAAAAGCTGAATACTTGTTGGGTATTTTATAATGGGGTTCCTTTCAGGTATGGATTGGACTACATGGCTGCTGAAGGTCGTTCAAACTTTCAAATTCTGTAGTTCTGCATTATAGAAGAGAAAGGTATTTAAATAACTATAGTATAAGTATAAGATAGCACATAAATGCTCAAAGCATTTATGGTTTGGTCAAATGGTCAAAGCTCATCTCAGCTATTTTTTATCTGTGTAAACTTGGGGCAAATTACTTGACTGCTCTGGTCCTTAGTCCCTTATCTGCAAAATGAGGTGGTTGAGACTAGGTGACCTCTAAGACCTCTTGATCAATTCTAATTCTGTGATTCTATGATCTTCCTAATCCCATTTTTTGTTTTCACCATGATCTCCAGTCCAGTTTCCTAGGTCACCATGTCTGCCCTGGCTTCACTTTCCTCCCTTCCTAATCTGAATCTTAGTGTTAACTAGCTCAATATTATTACTGTCCTCTATTCTTGAATCCATTGTCCTCATATCCTGTTGCTGCCTATACCTTGCTAAACCTCAACCTTTGATTATTCCTACCATCTGTCTCCTTTGCCTCTTTTCATCTGCTGTTGAATAGAACTAAAGAAAGTCATTCAACTATGTAGATTGAGTTCAGTACAGATATAAATTATCCGATCTCAACTGGGCCCTCACCTACAGCAAAACAGTCTTTTTACTCTTCATTCATTGATTCTCTCCGGCATCAGAGAGCTGTTCCAAAGTCTCTCATCCATTTTCATGACATTCTTCTCCCTTGGTTCTTCTTCCTATCTGACTGCTCCTTTGCTGGATTGTCATCCACGTCCTACCCCCCTCCAACTATGGTTGTGCCCCAGGATTTTGTCCTGGGCCCCACTCTGTCTCCTCATTCATTTGGTGATCTCATCAGCTCCTCTAGTTGAATTATCTCTATATTGATGACTTTCAGATCCATAATCTATATATCTTGCCCTAATCCGTCTCCTAAACTCCAGGCAGACATCACAAACCGCCTATTAGACATTTCAAACAAGGGGGCACCTAGGTGGCGCAGTAGATAGAACACCAGCTCCGGAGTCAGGAGGACCTGAGTTCAAATCCAGTCTCAGACACGTAACACTCACTAGCTGTGTGACTCTGAGCAAGTCATTTAACCCCAATTGTCTCACAAAAAAAAAAAAGTGACATTTCAAACTCATCATGACCAAAGCTCAACTCATTACCATTTCCCCTTTAAAATCTTCCCATCATCTAAACTGCCTTATTTCTGTTATGGATACCATTATCTTGCTAGTCTACTCAGGTTTACAATCTTAGGGTTATCACCTCCTTGCTCTCTCCACATGTCCAATCAGTTGGTAAATCTTGTTGTTTGTACCTCCACAAAATCTTTGTCATCTGACTCCTCTAACTCACACCACCACCACACAGACCCTCATCAACCTCTTTTCTGGATTATTGCAGTATCCTAATTGAACTCCCTACCTCTAATTTTTCCTTTCCCCAATCTATCCTCCATACAATTGCCAAAATGATATTCTTAAAACAGAGGTCCGAGCACGTTGCTACCCTGCTTAATTGGATCCTGTGATTCCCTATTGCCTCTAGGTAGGGTCAAATTTGTTTGGCATTTAATGCCTTTCACAACCTGGCCCCAGCCTACATTTCCAGTTTTATTACACATTATTCACTCTCTTGGACTCTACAACCCAGCCAGGCTAGCCTCCTTACTGTTCACCGTAACAGGATATTCCAGCCCTTCTCCATGGCTTTTCACAGGCTATTCTTCATGCATGCAATGCACGTCCTTCTCATCTGGGTCTCTTAAAATTCCTAATTTCCTTCAGAGTTCATTTCAAGCAACATCTTCTACATGAGCCCTTCCTTGATCCCCTCAGCTGCTGGTCCTCCCTCTTCCTATTACATTGTATTTGTTTTGTATGTGTTCTGTATACTTATACATGTAAATGTTTTCCCTGAATAGAATGTTAGTTTATTGAAGGCAGGATCTGTTTCATTTTTGTCTTTTTATTGCTAATGCCTAGCATAGGACCTGTGCACAGTAGGCACTTAAATGCTTGTTGATTGATTTAATGGTTTAAAAGTGATTACAAATATTATATTATAACTTCTGGAAGTTCGACCAAGGTTGATATAAATTAGCTTATACTATGTTGTTGCCATCATTTTTTCTTACCACCCCCACCCCCATAGACAAGCTTTTGCTGCTTCCTCATTCCATCTCATAGTATCACCTAATTTTCTGAGATTATCCTTAATCTTATATTCTACTTTTCCTGTAATCTCCAAAGATCACAAATATGAAAAGGAAGCCTATGGATAAAGAAAAGTCTGAATAAGATTCTACAAAAGGGTTACATCTGTATGCATGTGTAATTTATCTAAACAAGGCTTGTAGCCTTGAGAATAAAGGGGAAGATTTAGAAACTATAAAAACTCATAAGGGTGAGTAAGGGAGGAATAGATTTAAGAGGAAAGAATTTAAACTTAATTCCAATATGACAAAATATTTATATATTCTTTAAAAACTAAGGAGATAGTAAGTTTAGTGTGATGAAGGCAATATAAATTGAGAATATGCGAAATAACACTTATAATGAATATACCACATTCATTTGCAAACAAGTATACTTTAAAATATGACATTTATTTAATTACATTTTTAGTGCATTTATTGTTGTAAATTCCATGCTACCGGGACCATGTACATCTTCTCTAAACATTGTATTTCCCCTACAGACGGTCACAATATTCTGCACAGAATAGAGGCTCACTAAATGTTTGTCAAATTGAGGACTGGAAGCAGAGAATTATTTCCAATTCAATTTCAATTATTTCAATTCTATTATTTTAGATCTAGACCTTAACTAAAGGATGTGATTCCCCCTGCCTCCTCCTTTTGTCCGTTTTCAAGTCTATGAACTAAATTAAGGAAATATCTTGAAACCTAATGGGTTAAATTTTCTATTGCTAGGGGAAAATAATGAACTTTCAGGAAGCCATGGTGAGAATCCTTCTATGGCTTTTTGTAGAGGGACAATGTCTCTCTTGAGGCAGTTGGTGTGCTGATGCTGCTATCCTCCTTGAATCAAAATTCTAAAATTTCCTTTTTTAGGGTTATAACAAACTGAGAGGGTTTTTCATGGCCTAGGCGAGGACGAGGTAT